AAGAACGTAGATGTTGGAGATAAAGTCAGGAATAAATACACTGTACCCATAACCATCTATATATAAGTATGCTATTGCAGGCTGAAATGGGTTTTCAAAATGAGGGTGATGTTGCACGAGTTTGGTCAACACCTGTATATATATATATATATGGGTGAACGAAAAAATTTAGGTACAAATGCTGGGAAAACGAAACCGTCAACTTCGGGGAGTAACAACTTTTTTCCTTTTGTTTACTGCAGGTTAGTTTGAGAGTTATTTCGTTTGTGTTTATTTGTGGGACAAGAGAGGATGCATTCACGCCACTGACTTCGGTTCGATACCATATGCCGCAGTCTCCAGCCAAAGACAATCTGAATTTTCGGGGCCCCAGCCGGAGAGCGGACAAACCCCAACGGAAGCCAGATCTGAGCACAATATCTCTAATGCTCTGCGCCACGTTATATCCCGTGGGTGACAGGAAATGAGGGCAAAATTCACGATAGGCCCTAACCTTCCCCGAGGTCTGGTGATAGAGCGCTTCTAGGAGTGAGACATACTTCTCGGGTACTCCGTATCTCCGCAAACAGTTCAATAGTGTTGATAGAGTCGAAAGCCGCTCTGATGTCTAAAAACACGACAATGGTTTGTCGTCTGTATGCTTGGCGGTGTTCTGACGGAGGGTGAAGATTTGATCAACGCATCCACGGCGTGCACGAAACACGGCCTGCTCCTCGCGGATTTCTCACGGAATGGGCACAGCCTGCGTAATAAAACGGTCGCCAGCAGCTTCGGCGCTATTGGAATCAGATTCAGGCCCCTGTGGTTGGAACAGGCGTTGCCACAGCCCTTCTTGTAGATGGGTGTGACAATCACTTCTCCCCATGTATAGGGCACACTTTCAGTCTCCGGTTGTTTCACTACCGCACTGTCTTGGGGCCGGTAGCACGGATGAGCTGGAAGAGTTGCCTCTTTGTCGTCTCTCAAACTCTTTATCAGTTCACGCTTTAGGGAAAGGCGCTGTTCGTTGTGCTCGCGGTCTGCCGCGATTGCCCGACGTGTGTCGAGGAGTTTGAAAGACTTAGAGGAGACCCAGTGATTTACAACTCGGCAGGTTAGACCACAACTGTGTAAACAGGCTGAGTGCATTGCGTTTTGAATGATAGTCCAGTGTTGATCTACGCTACTTAGTCGGGTAGTAGTTAGCCTTGCGGCCAACTCATTTTGGTAATCGGCTAGTACGGCCAGGGCAGAGAGCTTGACGACGTCGAGCTGTTTGCATCGCATCTTTTTGCGGCCACCAAAACGCATAGATAACTTGGCACAACCCAGTGCGTGGTCGCAGTCCAAGCAGGTAGACCAATATGAACGGCAGTCTTTCACACATCCTCTTCATCTATAGCTGATAGCTATATGATCAATCTGACTCCATGTCTGTGCCGAGGAGGGGTTACGCCAGGTGGCGAGATGACGCTTAGAGTCTGAAGTATGTGCTAATGAGGAACAGATCGTGGAAAAGGATAACCTGTGATGTGGATTTACACTTTCCAGGAGAAATTGGGCTTGACAACTGATAACATATTTTGATGTATTGCCATGACAACGAATCACCGAAAACGAGCCAGTTCGCCACTGTGTTCTGGTAGCGAGGCACAAAACTCTCCAATAATCAGGTTTTTTGCAGCATCTTCAAGGACTGTTGGTTAGCACCGTTTTAAACATGTTAGCTGTTTTGAGGTAACCATGTTCGAGAGGAGAGCATGAAATAAAAACACTTACCTCATCCACTATAGTGATTAGTTGAAGCTGAGCATACGGAGTCCACTGGCGTAGCACCGCAAATAAATGTGCAATCGTGATCTCGGGTGAGCTGACCAGAGCTTGGCAATCTTCACACCACCACCAAGGTCCAGGAAGTTGTTTGAATATCCACGACCGGGATTCATCATCATCAGAAGCCGGTGTCTGTGGGGATGGACTATGTTGCTGATTTGTCCCATCCGTGGCATTAGTGGATGCAGACACGGCGGCGGCTGCCATATCTGCGTCCATTTGGCGACAGGTCTGGTAAACAAGATAGATGGCACTGATCAGTGATTAACTGGACAAGCCCAGAAGAAAGGAGGAATGGAACATGATAGTACGCGTCCGTGAAAAAGATTTAGACAAAAATATGACAAAAACTACCGCAGACAAATAATCGAACAGAACAATACCACTATAATAGGTGACGCAGAGAAGTCATAATAAATCTTCGCGTTGATCACAATATGGTATCTGGGTCAAACTGATACGGCCGATCGGAAAAGCAGAGCAGTTGGCATGCGAGTCCGCACGGTAGGTTGGCAATAGTTATGGTCTTGGGTGTGTCCGATATGTCAAATAAATACTCACAACCAGCAATGATAAGGTGAACAATGGAAAAAACCATATAATTTCGAGCGCCGCAAATGGTTTTCAAAACTGGAGCACACTAGAACAAATAGCAGGACACAATAAGGGCAGGGGAATGATAATCGGTGAAATCTCACCTCACAAAACGGGATTTCACAAGGCGGATGAACGATGGGATGCGATCGCCTGCGAACCATGTGAACGTGGCCGGCTCCGGGTTCAGAACTCGAACCGGAAATCTCCGAACTGGAAAGTCCGACAGATGGATCATTCGCACAGAACGAGTTGGTTGTCGATGCGCCGCTCCGTTTTTTTCCACGACCCACGGCCTGCTTCCTATAACGGTCTGCCGTCGGTTTCACACCGGCCTGAGCACGAGCAACCGTGCGCGGAGACGGTGCACATTCCGGTGGCAAACCGACCGAACGGCTCTGGCACTCAAGCTGAAAAAGACGTGGGAAGGCATGTATGAAACACTTGCAAAATATTGCGAAAAGGTTGGAGCTGATGGAGACGAAAATGCGTAGTCAAAACACACACCGGAGACATTATCTACACAAATTATCAATTAAATGAGCGTACGCAAGCCGTACATATGTATCCACAAAAAATCTTTCTTTCTGGTTCTGCGAGACCTTGTTAGTGCCCCAAAGGGCTTCTATGCCGCAAATAGTAGGGAAGTGCCATTTATTGTATCCTAGTCTCGAAGATACTTAACTAAGGTAACAGCCGATAACGATTTAACGTCTAGTCGTTCCCATCCGTCCTTATGCTCCCATTTTTGGCATCTACCCTCTCGTATTAACATTTACAAGAATTTCCCTGCACCCTACCAGGCCCGACTCCCAACCGATAAGGAGCAGGTCACAGGTGATCTAAGTCAGAATTTCTGTACATGAAGCTAACTTCAGTAGCATTCTTCACTTTATATGTGATATATATATAGGTATAGTATTCCGTTTGACGACCAAGGTACATTTTTAACTGAAATGCAGGCATATAAGCTTACGCAAGTTATCAAAACACAAATGGTCCTGGAGAACCGTGATTCCCGGACCCCTGAAATTCAACAAGGACTAGTCCCGGTAGCACCGCTTTTAAAGCGCTAGCCACGAAAACCAATCAATTTTGCAGAGAAATCATAAATCTAGTAAGCATGCCATTAAACCCTTACCACGTGAGCCTGTTTTACTTCGTGAACAACACCGACGTATGGCGCGTGCGGGAAGAGAAAATGAAGCTCGGGACCTTAAGGAGATGCGAAAGGTACCGATCGCGGTAGTTACGATTGGGATTCCGTTTAGCAAATCACCATGAGATTCAATGAATCAGAATCAACAAATCATTGATGCTTGGCAACGATATCGCCGGCCCTGGGTCATAATCTTTATTGCTAGTCAACTGTTCTCTTCCATTCTAATTTTTGAACATTTTGAAAAAATTCAAATCCAGAAGAGTGAAAAAATCCTCGGAGGACATAGTTGGTGTCGAAATACATACGTTCAAGGCTGTATGGGACCTAATTCGTGCACCGTGTGTAGTGGTGGTTTTATGCATCTTCCCCATTCAAGCAGGGTAATGTGGCGTTCTGTTCCGTCTCAAACTTGATGCATAGTTTGCTGACATATCACACCGGACGAACGCAGTCATATTTATGTGCTTTAGTTAGTCCACATTTACAGTTTGTTGAAG